TTTACTTTAGAAAACTTGTAAATTCTTTCTCTGACCCTTTGAGATGCAAATCTTTCTAAAAGCTTTTTGCAACACTAGAGTGTCTTTGTCAAGAGCCTGGGAGGCATGCCTTTGAAATGTAATTATCAAGGAAGATAGTGCCTCTATCTTCCAATTGCTCTGGGAGGATAGGAACCTAACCTTGCTCCACATTATGAAACTTCCTCCTGTCTTAAATACAGGAGAAAATTGTCTTTGAAAGATTCCACCTGATTTGCATATAGAAATTCATATGAGTGCTAAATGTAAGTTAATAGTAGTAATTTTAGAAGTGTACTATGTAGTGTCGGGAACATAATATTAGGATTACAAATATATTTTTCATAGAAAGTTAAATCTCTGAAATAGCGGCCTTAACATAAGGAAAGCAGCAATATTCAGTTCCAGGCTAAACAAGTAAGTAAAATGATGTTAGAACTGTTGCACTGGTCTTTAACCCAGACTTTCTTCCACATAACTACATGTTAAAATATATAAATAAACATATATACAATCACACATATAATATATATGATTATATATATTATATATAATTTATATTATATATAAATATAATATATTAAACATAACTTAGCTTTTCTTAATGACTGAGGGTCACCTGGAACACTTATCCTATGGGATATCTTCAGAAGGTTAGATTTTTTTCTCCTTGAATACACAGCTCCAGGCTACTGGCAACTCACTTTTTAAAAATTCTCATGATTGCTCTTTTGTTTTTCTCTTCCCTTCCTTGCTACTACGGTTCAGATGTTACTACTTGCTACTACCTCTTACTCCTAATTATAATTTCTGATCATTATTTAATTCACAACAAACTGGAAAATAAGAAACTGGTTTGGGTGTGTATGTGATGTGTGTAGACTCTGGACTCTGATGGTATGGCTCCATAGAAGCCATTCTGCCTCGTTCTTGCATCAACCAGGTTCTAAGTAGTTAGGGTCTGGTAACTGAGATGTCAACAATTGTTACAACAAATCATTTTCCTCTAGTACATGAATAATTGTAGGCTTTAAGGTATTAATTTAATAGTTTTATGCCAAAGTTACTGAAAAAACTCATCAGCAGTTCAAGGTACCTAAACTGTGAACTATTTGCTATTTTTTTCACATTTGCAATTATAACAAAAAAATGGTGTGCTTAGTCAATAACCTGTAATAATTTATTCTAACTGGAAAAAAAGAAAAAAGAAACTACAGAACTCTTTATATTACTGATATTCTGCTTTACAGTTTTTAAAATTAGTTTATTTTTTAATTGACAAATATCTGCTTTACATTTTTGATCAATAACCTGGGTTAAATGAATTCCTCATAGAAAATTCTAATGACAGTCAATATTTCATAAGTTTGCCCAAATATAATAAGGTTCTTAATATTTTCAGTTTTAACTATAATATTTAAGAAAAACACTTACCCTCCTGTGCCAATAGATCTCTTTTGATGGTTTTTTGAATCATAATAGCGCTGTAGGATCATAGCACTTCTACTTTTCAAATATCCAGTCTCTACCTCAATATAGTTCTCCAAATAGGAAATGAAAATGGATTTGATAAGCTTAGACAAGAAAGTCTGTTTATCAGTACCTAAATTAAACTCCATCAACTTGCTGGAGAGATTGGTGGTTCTTTTCATGGCAAAGGGGGAGAAAAAGATTAATATATATTTTAGGTGTAGTAATAATACTAAGGAATATATATTTTTACAATGTGACTTTAATGACTTATGTTAAACCACCATTTCTTAAACCTTGGAAAAGTACTTAGGATGCAAAGAGCAGCTATACTGGGTAATATATAAATTAGAGTAGAACATTACTAACAAGATTATGGTTTTGAGAACTGTCACAAACGCATAGGAGAAGAAATTGTGAAGCAATGAAGTAATCCAGAAATGGCAATAGCAGCAAATTGGCCTCAAGTATGCTTTAATGCCATTCATCACATGGTACCCAAAACAGAGTACTGAGAGGTCTATTCTCTGTTTACCCTCTTTTGTCTTTGTCCATGTGGACTTTCATTTTCTATTTCCCATTATTGAAGACAGTGTCACAATAATGTTGTTGAAATGGACTTCCTCATTATGGAAACTTTAGAAATAACTTCTCCCAAAATGAAGACATTGAAGAATAGCAATAGAGTTGGAAAAAGTCAAGGGAAAAAAAACTTGGCATGAAGTTTCTGAGATAATCTCTGTAAGAGTAACACTGTCATTGACAAAAGCACAAGACAATTCTCCTATCAGACATTAGGCTGAAATTGTTATTTGTTAAGAATATGTTCCTTTCTTCTATAAGTTCTAAAGTTTTAACTGCAGAAAAATGTAATTATATTAGTACTTAGAGAAAAAAATAAAGAATAAACTATCTCACAATTAAAATCAAAAACAAAATTCTTTAAACAAGGTAAACAAGGTCTTAAGTTTTATTAAAGTACATTAAGATAAAGAATAACATCTAATTCCTCAGGTTAATGTACTAAGAATGCTGTTCTTATACAATGCTAGTCTATACAGCCCAACATGTAATGCTAAAAGGTATACTGCTATCTGACAAACTGTTATTCAAAAATATCTGAATATGTCCCCATTTCCTATTTAAAAAAAAAAAAAAAAAAAAAAAGGCCGGGCGCTGTGGCTCACGCCTGTAATCCTAGCTCTTGGGAGGCCGAGGCGGGCGGATTGCTCAAGGTCAGGAGTTCAAAACCAGCCTGAGCAAGAGCGAGACCCCGTCTCTACTATAAACAGAAAGAAATTAATTGGCCAACTGATATATATATATATATAAAAAAAAAAAAAAATTAGCCGAGCATAGTGGCGCATGCCTGTAGTCCCAGCTACTCGGGAGGCTGAGACAGCAGGATTGCTTGAGCCCAGGAGTTTGAGGTTGCTGTGAGCTAGGCTGACGCCACGGCACTCACTCTAGCCTGGACAACAAAGTGAGACTCTGTCTCAAAAAAAAAAAAAAAAGAAAATCTGATATCTATTATTTTCTAGTAATTAAAAATATACCTTGTATACAGATCATAGAGATTTTTGAGATATTGCTCTGCATCAGACTTCCTACATTCTTCTAACTGGTCTTTCACAAAACTCTAAAAGAAAAAAGTCAACATTATATTAATTAATATTAAATTCTATCAACTCCCCAAGTTATTTTTTCCTTTAAAAATAACTCGTTTTGAACTTTTCTGACTTAAAATCCAATCAAAAAGGCAATACATAGAAAACAGACCAATTATAAAAAATAAAAAAATAGGTTTTTAAATTTTACTGCTTCTCATATTTACCTGTAAAAGATCTATACCAGTTCTTAGAAATAAGTATTATGAATTTAGATATACTTCTTTTGAAACTGGCCTATTCTGCTTCATGAGGTACATGAAAAACAAAAAACAAAACTGAGGCTACAACAATAGAGTCAATTTCTTAGAGCAGTATTTCCCAAACTGTGGTCTAGGTAACACTAGTGTTCCTTGAGACATTGATAATCATTACTCTAAAATAGGATTTTGTGGTCAGTAAATATGGTAAATGCTGTACATTACAACCCTACTTCTAGAGAATCACAGTATATATTAGTACCTTTAAAGACTTCAAAAGTCCTGAATTGTGTTTAAAAAAACACTTATTGAATGTTACTTAATCCAGTGGGAAACACAGTTTAGTGGTAAACATGTTTGAAAGTATAGCACCATGGACGTCAAGGCTGTAAATTAAATTCCTGTGTTTTTATTTTTCATGTTAGTACCATATTATAAAAAATTCTACAGCTTGCACTTGTAATTCTTGTTCAATTTCACAAATGTCATCTATTGGTGAAGGTAAGGACCAAAAAAAGAAAAATCTGAGGCTACTTTACCATGATATATTACTCCTACTAATGCTACCCCAATTCCAAGCATGTGGTCTGGTAACACATTGATTAGCACCTTATTCTTGGTGAATAACAAAACATTTCTTTTAAAGCATGATGATTCTTTTCCTCTTAACTAGATTACTATTCCTAAGGTCACTATATAAATCAACTAAATTTTAAAAAAAAATTTTAAAATACAGGGAAAATCACAAATTGCCTTAATAGTTACTTAATTTGTCAGTGTTTGAAATTACCTGTAGTTTGATTTCAAATACATTTTGAATAAGTTTAGCCAGTACTGTTTCTGGATTACTAAAGATATCTCCAACTTGTTTGTTCACTCTTTGACAGAGTATTGCAGCATCTTCAAATATATCATTTCTCAAGTAAGCACCCTAAACAGCAAAGGCATTTTACACAGTGAAAATAAAATTTTTAAAATGATTTTAAAACAAATTAGCATAAAATGAAATCCAATAAAGTATACTGTTATGTTACCTCCTGGCACTGCTTTATATAAACATCAACACAATGGGAATAACCCTACAAAGAAGAAACACATTGTTATCATCGTCTTGGGTCAATTATAATAATAATCATCTAAATAAGTGTTATATGTAATAAAGCTTGTCTATGTCCCAGTGAATGGCCAAAAGCAATAGTGGTTGGACTTAGATAAAATCAATTGTAGAGAACCAATAACTTAATTAGTATAGTTGTCTTCTTTCTGTCACTTTCTATGATGAAATTTATCAGTTGGTTTATATCCTTGTTGGACTTTAAAGTGAAAGAGGAAAGTTGAGATATAACTGAGTCCTTCACCCCAATTTTTGCCCTATTATCATCTAGCCATCTCCTTCAATTCCAAAACACACACAAACACACACACACAGTCTCTCTCTCTCTCTCTCTCTGTCTCACACGCACGCGTACACATACACACACACACACACGCACAGATTCAAGGTCTTGAGAAAAGGTTGTACATATCTATATTTCCTTCTTTCCTGTCTTGGATTCCCTTGCAATAATCTGGACAGAACTATGTTTAATTGGCTTTCTGGAAATTTACTTTTAAAACTGAATCTATTTTAATAAAGTGTGTTTAAAACAAACTAATTTGCCATATCAAGCTAACTATAATGAGATTTTTGCCTACTAACAAATCATACATAAAAAAAGGTAAGCAATATCAAGTGCACCACTGACTCTCAAGAGCCATTCTCAATATTCAGATGTTACCAAAATGAAGTCTAACAAGCAGCTTCCCATTCCCTATTGTGATAGAAATATGAAGAAACAGATTGAAGGAAGAACTATTTAAGCACATTCTTTGCAGAAATATACTCCCACACAGGGATTTTCTCCCCAATTCAAATTCCAAGAAGACAGCTCCATAACACAACATTTCTTTTTATTATCTCCTGAGATTCCCTGAATTTATTTTAAGTCTATTCCTAGTTATATTTCATCTACTCTCTGGTTCCTATATTCCAGATATAGGCTATTTATGGTCAAGTTTTCTTGCTTTTGACCTATTTCATAACATGCTTGACTGAAAAAGATTCATTAAAAAGCAAGAAGGTAGACAATATAATTTTATACAACTATACAGAAACACTGGTATATTAATATTATTGAATATAAAATCATTATTTAGATATTGAATGCCTAACACTTATCATTTACAGAGAGATATAAAATGTACATTCAAATTATTCAAAACAATGAAAATTATCACTGTGATAGTTACACAACTAATAGGGGAAAATCAGAGACCATAATATATAGAACTTGTAAAATCTCCAGAACTTTGAAAATTAGTCTTCATTTTAAATTTGTACTATTTACCTTAAAATGAAGTAAAACTGCTGCTACTTCTCTCATTCTGGAGATTTCACCTCTTCTTTGAGCACTGGTAAACTCTTGAATCAGTTGGCATTCTAAATCATGATATTTACCTAAAAATAAAGTCATTCAGCTACACTGAGGCATATAAGGTATCCAAGTTATTTAAGAGTATCTAAATTATTTACAAATACAATGACTATGGATCTAGTTTTCTTTTGAAAGAATGACAAAAACAAGATGAGATCACAGGCACTGGATCCAGCCCTTATATTAATACTGTGGTATATAAATCTATATTTTCAAGACACAAAAAACTTCCAAAGAGGTAAAATAGGTAAGCTCCCTGGGGTTTGATTGCCATTTACCACTGTTACTTAAACCAGCAGCTGACTGAAAAAAATCTTCCAGATGCTATTTCTAAGATCAACAGAGAGCAAAATCTTAAACATGAAGCTATGGAAAGTCCTGAAGAGGACTACAGAATTCTATACTAGAATTAAATGTTTCCACCACGAACAATGGTGGACCGAACACCAAATTTCATCTTAAGATAATATGTGGTATTCACTATATTCTTGAGGTTACTGTGGATCTTAATGAACACCTGAACTTCAGACTAATCAATAGTGATCAAAAATATTCCCAGGACATCCAACTATCTGTGTCACCCTTATTCTAACACTTTTGGGAATATAGCTACCTATATTCTTTGAAAAAAAAATATAATATGTATTCTTTGAATCCTCTGTGGGATGGTCTATCATATAGGAAACCAAGCTACAAATACGGTGGTCTTTTGAATGATCTAGCCTAAAATATAATCGAAGATTGGCAAAAATCAAACTAATCATGTAAGGCATTAAATAGGTACCAAAATGCTCACATAATCTTAGCTTTCAAAAAAAAAGAAGCTCATTCAGAGATATATACATGGATGCAAAACAATTTCCAAAATAGTTAAATTAAAAGCCCACAGTCTAAAGCTATTTGTATAGTATGCTACTGATTACTTTTACATAAGTGAAGACAGTAGAACTATATATATGTGTGTGTGAGAGACTTATGTCTTATGCATGCATATTCATAGATTATTCTGGAAGAAGACCTAGGCAACTGGTAATGGTTGTTTTCGGGGAAGGGTAATCAAACTCAAGGATTGGGTAGGGGGAAGACATTTTTTCCACTTTCTCTCCTGTTGCTATTTTAGTTTTCTTTTACTTATTCAAAAAAATTTAAATAAGTAGAACCCTACTTACTTGCAATTTTGGATTTTACTTCTGAAAATCTGAAAGATAAAAACCAATGTTGAGGTTTATTAGTTGTGACAAAAACACCATGGTGATATAAGATCTGACAAAAAGAAAAACTGGGTGCAAGTGTGTATGGAAAAACTCTGTACCATCTTTATAACTTTTCTGTAAATATAAACTATTATAAAATTAAAAGATTATCAAAAAAACAAAAAAAGGGGGGGGGGAGAGAGAGAGACAAAGCCAGAGGACAGAGTACTGACAGAAAGCATGCTAGATGACAAAATTGAATTTAGGTAATTCAGATGGGGTAGCTGGTTCTCATTTAAGAAATTCACATTCCCTTTTTAAAGAGGGAAGAATTCCGCACAAGGCATTAACAACCCAGGCAGACCTAAAACTGAGTTATTGTTCCTATTCATCTTCACTGGTATTTTAAATTTACTTGTCTGTCCCCTCACCCTGTTGGTATTTTTAAAAAGAAAGAAAGATTGATTGACAGGGTCTCACTCTGTTGCCCAGGCTGGAGTGCAGTGGCAAGATCATAGCCTCACTACAACCTCAAACTCCTGGGCTTAAGCAATCCACCTGCCTCAGTCTCCTGAATAGCTGGGGCACACACTATCACATCTGTCTAATTTTTTATTTTTTTTGTAGAGATAGGGTCTCACTGTGTTGCCCAGGCTGGTCTTGAATAAGTGATCCTCCCACCTTGGCCTCCCAAACTGCTAGGATTAAAGGTATGAGCCACCATACATGGCAAGTTCTGTTATCATTATTTAAAAGAAAAAGATGATAAAATAATATGCTATATGATAATGATATAGTAATAATAAATGATAACATGATTTAAAAAATAAAAGCAGTGATAAAACTATAAAATGATTAATGATAAAATATACAAATAAATTATTTTAAAACTAAAAAAAACAACAACAAAAAAGAGGCCATAAAAAGCACCCAGCAACATGCCCAGCAGATTAACCAATCAATTGTTATTTGAAAACCAATATACCACACTGGAATGTCTTCAAATCGCAAATATCTAAGAGGAATGTATAGCAAGAAAAATTGATGTTGTAAGATCCTATGCAATTGTTTGAAGAGAGAGGAGAGTGGCTGATAAGAGATGCTAAAGACAGATAAAGGAGGAAATAAAAATTTAGAGAGGCATGAAAAATGATATATCAAGTCATGATAGATCACAGAATGCATAAAAGGCCATATTAATCTGTGTGGAAAAAAATTAAATCTAATTAGGGTATATATTCAACTCCAAGCTTGGAGGAAAGGCTAAAACAAAACCATAATAGAAGTATGTACATGAGAGGTGGAAAAGAATATATGCATGTGTGTTCTGGAGGGGAAAAAGAGAAAGGAGAGAGGGATGGGGAATGTAGCCAGCTATTATCCTGAACCTATTTTGAGCTCGACATTTTACCCATTTAAGTAAATGGTCCAGCTCTGGCATGAGATAAGGTTAAATAGAGTTTTTGGTGAATGACTCTAAAAATTATTACAGTACATTAAATCATAATGCTGGGCAAGTATGAGATTATTAATAATAGCTGAAGAATAACAGATGATCATTACAGGCTAATCTTTTATAATAACACAGAGTTAAAGAGTAAAACAGATACACTTTTGAGGGGAATTCACTACATGTTTGGAATATAATGGTTAAGCTTTAAGTACAGTAACACATCCATATTCTATCTGTTCCTGAAGATCTTCAAGTATCACCAAAAGAATAACAGATATATTATGTTATATAGAAAGTCATATTTCTTTCAGATATTCATATAAATGAAGCACTATCACAAGTTTAATAAAGAATCTGACATTCTAGAGACTATAGGAAATTATTAATATAAAAAAATTCCTTCTCAGTGGATAGTTTATTTTAGGATGAAATCTAATTTAGTGATGGCCTGGGGCCTTCCATTTAAAACATGAGCTCTTAATCTGAAGTCCCTAGGAAGGGTTCTGAGGACAAGTTAAAGAATCTAGAACTCCATGAAATTGTATACCACAATCTGTGTGGATATTAATTTTTTAAAGAAACTTTACAGCTTTCAACAGCTTCTCAAAGGTGCCCAAGACCCCAAAAAAGCTTAAGAACCTTCATCTAGAAATAGGAAAAAAACAGCTGAATATCTCTATACTTAAACTATCCTGGTTCTCAAAGTTCAAAATATGAAAATTCAAAATATTACTTCTTTTATACTACTTTTCCAGAAGACAAGGGACTGAAATTATTTCAAGGTGTATCATTAAATTTAGATAGTAAGAGTAGACCATATTTTTCCCATAAACTATTTTATACTATATCTTGTACAAAGGAGGTGCTCAATGAATTCTGGTTTAAATTAATAGGCAAAGAAACCATATAAGAAATAAAATACAATTTTATTCTATAAATTATAGCATACATCCAGTGTTGAGAAATAAACTTGCCTATCGAAAGGTAACTCCTGGGCGATTAGGTGCAACTTCTGAATGATGTCTGCTGCCTCTTTTATCTATTAAAAAATAAATAAATAAATAAATAAATAAATAAATAAATAAATAAATAAAAGCAGTATTTTTTTTAAAAAAAATCTTATACATCAAAAAATAACTATATATTTGAAAATAGTACTATCTCTCTATGTGTGCCCACAGTCCCTCCCGAAAATTTTCTTTTAAAAATCTACAACAAATAAAACTTTATGAGCAAGAAGAATACATTTAGGATGCCACCAATGAGTAATAAATCATAAACATCTGTCTTCTGGCAGTAAAATTTGGTCAATTTTTGATGCCACAATCTCTTCCCAATAAAACCTGTAGTTCAAGTTTATTCTGACAAAAATTCAAATCACTGGTTACTGAAAGCCATGTATACACCTCTTCTAAGTTTATGAATCCAAAAAGAAAAAACAAGATTTATGAAAATAATTTAGGACATACTGCTGCATATATATACCACCATAATTTAAATAAATAAAACAAAAATGCTTGCCATTTAATGACTATATAAATTTATAATACTTATTCTAAAAGCAGATAAAGTTTAAAATAAAGTCTCTTGAATGAAATATAGTAGAGCAATGTGTATATTTATACAAGTTGTGGAACTAAGGAACTTAAGCAAGGTGTCTAAAATTCTTTAAATGCAGCTATCTGTGCTTATTTACACAATAGTGCAGAAGAGTTCTAGAGTGCTTATTTTTTCTCTAAATTTAAAATTAGTACTGAGTTTTACTTAGGCACAGTTTTAATAGCTGATTTTATGGTGACATTTTATTTTACAATCAAAAAGAGAGACTGCTATAAACATTAAGGAAGAACTAAGAACATTAATATAGATTTTTTCTAAGTACTCATGTGAACTCTGGCAAGCAACTGTGAATAACAACAGGGATTGTTCTTCTTGCTCCAAATGATAGAAAATGCAGCATTTCTGCTTCAGTTATCTCTTTCCTCCCAGTCAACTACCATGTACTCACTTTATCCTACTACACATGGGCACAGGTATCACTGCAGTATCTCCTTACCATGCTATTTAGTTGTATTAGCAAAGTACATCATGTTCTCCTTACAAATACTCACTTCAGAAAGAATATGTCTGGCTCACAGCCAGTTCTGTTTCCATCAGGAGTTTTGTTCTTGTTCTTTTTAGAGATAAAAGTCCTCACTGTGTGCTGTTTGCAAGCTTTGCTTACTGTACTAAGTTGCACAGCAATAAATAATGCTTGCTTTTATTAAATTTCCATAGCTAATTATTTTGTGAAAATTGTTTAAAGCACACATAGCTCTTAAGGTTACAACATTCTGTAGTTAATCAGTTAAAATATACTACAATAAGTACAAAAGCTGTCAAAACCACAATCTATTAATGCTTACATCTGTTACAGATATTTGGGTGAGGTAAGAGACTACCCATGCTAACAAGCAGTGTTAAAGATAACCAGAATCATCAAGCACTATCTACATGAGGAATAAGCTGCCATTCCAGGAAGAAAAACAACCAATATACATGTAAGGATGGAAGTAAACATAAAATAGGTTTTTTGTTTTGTTTTTTTCAGGAAAAAAGAAGAGAAGATTCTAAAAAGCAAAGATTAAAAAATAAAAAATGACTAGGGAACAAGAAGAAAAAGAAATATGATGTGTTATAATTTTATTTGATTCCATTTCTTCCCACAATCCCACATCTTTCTAGCTATGTGGGTGCTTTCCCTTTTCTTTCCACTGGGAAGGAGACTGGCACAAATTCCAGAAACTGAGATAGCTAGAAGTTTATCTAATAATCACGATCTAATACTATTTAAAAGTTCTTAAGTGTGGTTGACTGTGACAAACCAGGCAAAAAATTGATTCTCAAATAGCAAACAATAACCAAAATCTTGTGGGAGAGATGAGAGACAAAGTAATTTAGAAAGGAGAAATAAAGTATAAGAAAATAGGCAACATAGGAGATAAAAGAAAAAGGGATACAGAACACAGTAAAGTAAAAGAGCAATTAGCTTAAATACTGTTAATCTATACTTGCTTCTCAAAAATTACAGATGGCTAAGTAACCAAGTGAATGAACTAGCAAGAATATAAAAAATTTTTTTCAATTAAAACCTCAAAAATTAAGAGATAACAGTTATACCAAGAGCTATATAATTACTTGAGGATAATTAAAACGTTTAAAGAAAAGTATAAAGAACATAATTTCATGACGCAAAACATTACAAACAATACAAATCTGGTTAAAAATATATAAAATCAATTTTAAAATATTTATTTTTCTCTAGATTCTAAATGACTACTTTGAGCTGTATTCAAATAAATGGGACAATTCACATTAGGTAAAATATCTGCATTTTGTTTATAACAGAACATAAACACACTATACAATTAAACAGGTATAATCCAAGGTAACAGTTGAATTATACATAATCTTTTACATATAATTTTTTATAACATGTATGTTACAAATAAGTACTTTCATAATATGTTATAAATTTATGTTTATATTTAGAAAGCTTACAAAAAAAACCTACAACATTCCATAAGCTATCCTGAAAAAGTTTGGTGTTCAAGCCTTGTATCTACTCATATATCAAACTCACATAAACATACAAAAGCTAGACATTGCCAGTATTTTACAAGTTTTTAAGTATCATATGTCTCTTGATGTTAATCTTATCAGTTTTACTTTATATTATAAATTTCTGAAACTCATTCTTTAAAATATTGCCTTTAGAGGAATTATCATACATATGTAACCATTTTTTAAAGATCTCTAAAACCTATAAATTCTATAATCCAAAATTCACAAAAAAATTTATTGCTTAATTAAAAATGAACTTCAATAATACTTAGCTCTTATCATTCCACTATCTGAGATAATCTATGGAGCAAATTTGGGATAATTCAGAGACTAGATTCAACATATAAGTGGATTATGTTGCTATGTATATATATGATCCATAAGAATGTGCATTTTTTTCATGCATTTTGATTTTTTTTCCCACTGAGGGGAAGAAAGTGAGCTAAATTATTTTCTTTCAAAACTGTAGAGCAACCAATACTATGTACCCTTAGACCAGGACTAAGTCACTAGTACTATGAAAAAGATTAATATAAACAACTAAATCGTATTTTTTTTCAGTTCTCCTTGGTCGAAACCGCTTTCATTCTTTATAAGAGATCTTTATTCAAATAATAAAAACTAGAAGTTCTGAATTCCTTATCTCAGCTTATCAATAATTTGGGTCAAACCATCCTACCAACACTCAATGGAATGTAACTATTCAAAGACTGTAAAAATTCTGTTTATATCAAAAGTCATTTATGATAAAGAAATACTTATGAACATAGTTAGCATTCTTAAGTCATGTATAATTTCATGAAATGCCAAGCAACCCAATTAAAAATTTGAACACTAACACTTCATCAGCAATCTATAGGAAACTTTATTAATTTATATTTTAGGGTAATAAAAATTTTTAACAAGTCAGCTACTCAGTGATTTGAAGTCTGATTCTGAAAAGTAAATATTGTAGCTCATAATTAGTGATTATTAATGCTGTGATTTGCTTTTATCCTCTGATAGTGCTTACCTTTTCAGAATTTGTAAAAACATCAGATTTCAATTCTCCATCTAGAAACTCATTAAAGTACTTCATCAGTTTCTGAGCCTCCACTGCCCGTTGCCTGGGTGTGTTTACCCCCTCCAACTGGTCTCCAAGGTGACAGACTTTGGTTGCTACATAGCTTATGTGCTCATCTAGTTCTTGGAAATGTTGAAAGGCAACCTAAGAAAATGTACATAAGCATAAATACAATTAGAGAACTCCATTTATAAGTTAATATACATTAAAACTAAACTACCATTCTCATGGTAGTTTCTTCCTCTCTCACTTAGGTAACTAAAGATAACATAGAAGTTATATATGAGATGATCTAAAAAATTCATTCTCATTAGTATGAAATGATATGAAAACCTATTAACCAAGTTGCAAACTTTACACCATTATTAAAATAATTATATTTATCATGAATACATTTGATAATCAACAAAAAAGTAAGGCTCATTACTACACATGCCATTTAATAAAGAACCTGGCACCATTTCGTCCTAAATAATGATTCTGAAAACAATGAACTAAGTATTCAAAGGCCAGACATCTAAAAATCTCCTTTGCTATTAAACTGAAAAGAAACAAAAGTATATCAGTAGTAAAAGATACTGATTAAAAATTGAGTACTTAACATTTATTTTAAATATTTCAGAAATGATGCTAATATTCTCGTATATAAAGTAAAATTGCGCTTTCCCAGTTTTTAAAACAGAAAAGAGTGCCGCAATTGTCCTATGGCAAAAGTTTATTACTTCCTAGAATATTCTTTCCCTTCTCTCAGGGTACACTACTTATTCTGTAGTAGATGAAAACGGTGTGCAATGAATGTCTTATAATTGCCAATAGCAGAACTGCTGATAATCTAGCATGGTACTTTTTGTTTTAATCTTAAATTAAGGGGAGAGAAAAGCAAATGTAAACATTTATTAAGGACTTTCTCTGTGCTATACACTGTTCTAAGCATATTACATGTATTTACTTAAATGATCCTCTCAACACCCCATTTTACAGATGAAATAACTGAGGCACAGAGAAGTTAAATTGCTTGAGATTACACAGTTTAAAAGTGGTAGAGGTGCAATTCAAACTCAGGCAAACTGGCTCAGAGTTTATTAGTTTAACTATTAATACTACATTACCAAGGGAAAACTGCATTAGAAATATTTGGAAACTGTCACCTTAACTATTTAAAAACACATTCCCTATCATATTTAAATTATTGACTTCCTTAATTAAAAATTTTCTCACGGCCATATATGCTTAAGTGAAGGAACTAAAACTGAAATTTTAGCAGAAATTAGTTTGCTAATCCCTAACACTAAAGAACTAATGGCCCCTGGGAGGCAGCAAGGCTAAACAATACTCTTCAAACTACACTTAGAAAGGCAATCGAATTCCAGATCAGGTTCAGTCTGTGAAAGGATTCAGAGGTTCCAGATTAAGTCTAGGGCCTAAGAGTAACTAAGAAACTTGGCCTACTTTGCCCCAGGACCAATCTAGTGGTTTGCTTTTACTCCGAAACAGACAGAGGAAGAAGAGTTCTGTGTCTGCTTTTTTCATAGTTATACTAGAATTCTCACTGGGGCACACTGATCATGACTTCTGTGGAACTTCCTTGACCAGGTTTTCTTTATAGGAAAAACCTGATCCAGGCAATACCTGGTCTCACATCACTTTGTTTTACGATTAAAGAGAATGCAAATGACTACCTAAATATCCACACTAATAAAGAGTACCTAAAAGTACAGGTCTACTGAAGTGTCATTCTTAAAAGTCTGCATTTTTATAGAGGAAGCAAGGACCACACTGAACTGGATGCTAACCCAAATCGAGAAAGGAGTACTGTGATCCCAAACCAATACTCTGTAGAAAGCCAATGTCAAAAGTACCTGATAACAATTTATTAACATTTTATCCCATCGAACTAGAGTGGTGGAAACCTGTACAGTAAGCCAGGCAGGGTGGCTCAAGCCTGTAATCCTAGCTCTCTGAGAGGCTGAGGTGGGTGGATTGCTTGAAGTCAGGAGTTCGAAACCAACCTGAGCAAAAGCGAGACCCTGTCTCTACTATAAATAGAAAGAAATTAATTAGCCAACTAATATACATAGAAAAAATGAGCTGGGCATGGTGGCACATGCCTGTAGTCCCAGCTACTCAGGAGGCTGAGGCAGTATCGCTTGAGCCCAGGAGTTTGAGGTTGCTGTGAGCTAGGCTGATGCCACGGCACTTACTGTAGCCTGGGCAACAAAGTGAGATTCTGTCTCAAAAAAAAAAAAAGAAAAGAAATCTGCATAGTTACTATCATTTGACTAGATTTTTTTAAAAACTTAAAACAGGAGGAAATAAAGACATGATAGCCTATATAAATTATATAAATTAATCACTGCTTAGCTAAATGTTTACCTGGTTGCTTTTTTGGAGCTCTTGTACCTTCTTGGCAAACTCCTTGGCTTCTTTCTGACATTGTTGCTCTAGTTTCTCTACTTTCCTTTGAATCCTTTCATCCATTATCTGGAGTTCTTGAATATGATTTACAAATTCTTCTAATAGTCTAATAGCAGAAAATAAAAAAATATATTAATCTATTATTAATCATTAGGAACAGACCACTTATCATCATAAAGAAAGTCTTAAGAGTTCCTTCAGCTTGGAATGATCATGTGAATTTTCTCCATAGCATCCTGTTAGGAATTTCTTCAATAAAAAGATCAAATCTTTCTGTAACTTCATGACTTCTTCATAGCTTTGTTCAGGCCACATAGCTTTAAAACAAACATGATGACATTTGAAAATATAGCCAGTCTTTATTGACTTTTCAGTGGATTGTCTCTAAAGTGAATGAAAATCTCACCCAGAATGGAAACAAATTTTATAGCCTATTTAAAACAGTCAAGAAGGTAAGCAGACTACATAAAAATAATAGTGCATCACAGAGTTTGGTGACTTTCTGTTCCCCCAATTCACAACTATACTTAAAACAACATATTCAACATGTTTTTGTTTTAGAAGTATAACTAATCCTTTCTAATTTATTACTAACTAGAAGAAATATTAAATTCCTATACTCAATAAAATCCTTTCCCTCATACCAGTTAAAGTGTTTCTTTAAAAGAAAAGGAATATAAAAGGAAAAACATAATCTCAAACTTCTAAGTCTCTGTTGGATTATTTGTGTCTTTTATTGGCCAACTGTTAACTAAAATCTCTTTACAGGACTATTAACAGGATTCCTAATAGTCACCTCTATTCTAACACAAATTTGTACTATACTGAGTCTATGAAAAACAAAACAAAACAAATTTTACTTTACCTTTTAGGATCAAAAGCTTCAGGTCCTCCTCTAGAGCCACCTCCGGGGGTTCTCCATACAAGACGTTCAATATACTCATCTGCCACAAAAGGCTCCTAGTTTACAAAACAAGTATGTTTTAACGAAGTTTCATATAAGAGTACTTAATATTACTTACAAAAATAAAACAAGTGCTACTATGTGAGACCTTAAAATGGAATTAAATTACTAATTATTTAAATATGCTTATATTATTAAAATGTACAAGATTTTTTCAATTAAAAAACTTGAATAAGCAAAACAAAATGCTTAATAAGATTAGGATATTAAAATACTAGGCCAGTATTAATGACCAGCTGTAACAACACAGCAGAAAAATGAGCAAAGGACAAAACAAGCAATTTTTAGAAAAAATAGAAATTACCAAAAATCATGCAAAATATGTACAGCCTTACTAGTAATCAAATAAGATCAAATTATCACTATTTTTTAACCTCAAAAACCAAGAAATTTTTTTTTGTTAATTATAATGAGCAATGCAACAAAGGGTAAGCTGAAATTTGTACTCTTATTGTTAGAAACGTCAACAGGTATAATCTTTTTGGAGGACAGTTGGTAACATTAACAGTGTTACAAATGCTCATATCCCTTAAGAGTAATGCTACTTTTAAAATTTTTTTTTTAATTACAGAATTTTATGGGGTTACATACATTTTGGTTATATAATTTGCTTTTGTACAGTTTGAGTCAGAGTTGTAAGTGTGCCCTCCAGACAGTCAGTGTGCATTGTTAGGTGTGAATTTACTCAACCTTTCCTCTCTCTTCCCACCTACTTGATTTCCCTTGAATTTTACTTCCCTATGTGTACAAAAGTGTTGATCTACTTTTAATATCCTAAGGGAAAAGCATATATGAGCACAAAAATTTTTGCAGAAAGTTCACTGAGCATTATGTGTAATACTAAAAAATTGTTTACATAAATATTCAATAAAAACACAATTGAAAAATTATGGTAAACTTATAGGATGAAAAGCTCTGTTCCTATTAAAATAACGTAAAAATTTGGAAATCAGAAAAAATGCTAACATAATATCTGATGAAAAAAGCAGAATATAAAATTTTCAAAATTTTCTCCAAAAAAGCATTACTTTTTTAAAAAAAAAAGAATATTGGAGTAGAAGGCCCAATCAAGAAAATAAACATTCAAATGTTCACCATCAGCAGATAACACATTTTTTGACTGATTTACACAGTAATCTACATACTTTCCATACTACCCTCTTTCATGAAAATGAATACCATATATTATCTATTTAGCATACAACTTAAACTGCTGGTGACTCCAGATTGAATTGTCATATCTCTAAAATTCTTTCTTAAATTTTGACAGATATAAAGTGCTGATATGTTTGAGAATTGAGTCCTAAGTATGAATTAGATATCCTTGCAAAGCAAAAACTTGGTCACCCTGAAATACAAACTCATTCAGCAAAATAGCATCACTTGAAAATTTCACTTTTGTTGACACAAAAGAGTTGATGCCTATCTAATAATTCTTAATTTCTATATATAAATTGAGAAATGCTGACTGAGCACAAACAAAGGAATTTATATTAGGGCTACTTAGAACTTTAGAAACTAAGCTACTGAAAAATTTTAGAAAACCTGACCATCACATGACATACCCCTAAAGAATGATGAGATGGTGATGTTAGCTAAATTTGTTTAAGTGCTTACTAGATGGCAGGCATGTGCCTAGTGCTTTACATACTTTATCACATTCTGTATGTACTATGATAAGTGTCATAGAGTAAGTCTACAGGGTAGGTTCTATTTATATTGATTCATTTTATACCTGTGGAGTTATATGATAAAAAGAAGTCATTTAATCCAAGATCTCAAAGACTTATCTGATTCCAAAGGCCCAAGTCTTAACTACTGGTAAAATCAAGAGCTTTCTCTTTAAAAGAGGCTAAATTACTTTAAGAAGTAGTCAGCCCTTCCAAAAGTCCACAGTACTTCCATTAAATAACTTCATATAGCAATCATAACTTCATATAGTAATTGTGTTCCTTCTATCATTTTGGTTTTCGCATACACATCTGTGTAAATACTTAATAATCTTAGTTCTTATGTGTTACTAATTTCATTTGTTATTGAATAGTTACAGTTCTTAATTCAATAGGTTATACTATTCATCAATTTCAATGTAGTTTTATTAAATGATATACATCCAAATCAACAGGTAAATATTATTGACATGGTGAAAAATAATGAAGCATTTCTTCACAGGAAATATTTTCAATTCTCTCATCAAGTATTCCCTCATTCAACTAATATTCAATATTAGTTGAGAGCCAACCACATGCTAGAAACTATTCTAAATACTCAGGAAATAGTAAACAAGGGAAAAAATCTGTGCTCCTCTGGATCTAGTGGAGTTGAGGCACAAATGAGCAGAAAAATGACAATAGTGGGATTATTTTTTATAGAAATGATCAGGCAAGGACTTTCTAAGAAAATAAATTTTAGGCCAGGCACAGTGGCTCACACCTGTAATCCTAGCACTCTGGGAGGCCAAGGTGGGAGAATTGCTTGATCAGTTCAAGATCAGCCTGAGCAAGAGCGAGATCCTGTCTCCACTAAAAAATAGAAAAAATTAGCCAGGCATAGTGTTGTGTGTCTGTAGTTCCAGCTACTTGGGAGGTTGAGGCAGGAGGATTGTTTGAGCCCAGGAGTTTGAGGTTGCTGTAAGCCAGGATGATGCCATGGTACTCAAGCCTGGGTGAGAGAGTGATACTCTGTCTCAAAAAAAAAAAAAAAAAAGAAGAAAAGAGAGACAGAAAGAGAAAGAGAAACAATAAAAAGGGAGAGAAAGGAAAGGGGAGAGGAGGGAAAATTTTAAACAAAGACCTGGATGCAGCCAAGTAATAAGCCATCTGGGGAAGGAGAGTTCCAAGCACAGGGAACAAACTGTCTTAGCAAGCAAGCAACCACAAGAGGCCAGTATGACTAAAGTAGAGTGGGTAAAGGGGAGAACAGTAGAGGATAAAGTCAAGAGACACAGTGAGAATCCAGAGTTTGGACCAACGTCTTACAGGCTGTATTATGATATATCACCTGTTATTTACAGAAGAAAAGGCCAGGTTCCCAAGAGGAAGGACCCCGCAATGAGCTGGCAAATATACACAGCAATAATTCTCCTATTCCTTCACTCAAAAGGAGCTATAACCATTTACTTTAGTACACTAGGGGAAGGGGAATACTCAAAACATTTTGAAGTCTGTTGGATACAGGGTCCTAATTAACATTGTTACTTGACTGACCCAAAGCATCACGGACTCTGAGTGAGAACATAAGGTGGCCAACTAATAAACAGATTCCTGGCCAAGGTCTACCAGAGCATACTCCAATGGATTCATGAGCCCACCTAGTGGCCATTTCCCCAGTTTACAAACACATAACAGGAATAGACATTCTTGGTGGCTGAAGCAAGTCCAACAATGGGTCCTTGAATTGCTATAGGGTGAGGAAGCCCAAGTACCAGTCTCTAAAACTGCCCCTGTCTACTCAAAGTAGTTAATAATATGGGATGGCAAAAATGAAAACCACCCTTAAGAATCTAAAGAAGAGATCTGCAGTTTTTTTTTTAAAGGACCAGACAGCAAATAATTGAGGCTTGTAGACTGTACAGTCTCCATTATAACCATTCTACTTTGCTACTGGACTATAAATACAACCACAGACAATTAAAAAATGAGCATAGGTATCCATAAAACTTTAAAACCAGAAACTTCTGGGAAGATGGTGGAGCAGATAATAACAGAAATTTGTCTCCGCTCTGCACCTGGATAATAATTACACTAGCTGAATCTGTCTGATGTAACTATTCTGGAACTCTATAGCCTATTCTTGCACAATAAAATGTGGTTAATTTCAGTCAATTTCAGCTCTTAGCACAGTAGTAGCTACCCACACCCTACCCGAGTCCTGTGGCAGACAGCTGTACACATAATCCTGGAATAATCTGCACACAGTTTGTGAAAGCCAGGGTCGGCAAAAAGGACACTGTCCTCTAAATATCAGGGATCTGTGCTCTGACAGCTAACTGCTGCTTCTGCTCAGAGAAGTATAAAGAAGCTGTTGGCCTTTGTTGTTGTGTCTCCCTCCATTTTTGCAAGACCCTCTCCTTCAGCATGCAGTGACTGCCAGAAGATTTAAAGGGCCAGTACCCATTTTTTAAAATCCCCCCTTCATTTTTTTCTTTTTGCTCTTTTGGAAGTCAGATAGTAAAGACTAGAACATTCAAAAGCAAAAAAAGTAAAAAGTGATACACATGCCCAGGGATAGGTGCAGGCTCAGAGAAGAGCTAAGATCTTAAGTTTAATGATCCTTGGCATAGAGACAGTCTACAATAATTAAACACACACACATACACACACTAACAAAAACAAGCAAACCCTGGGAAAAAGGAAGAATCTTATTTTCAGAGTTACCACATTATTATTAACAGATTCAAATGTCCAATTTTCAATGAAAAAAAATCACAAGGCAAAAGATACAGGAAAACATGGCCTACTCATAGGAAATAACTTCCCCTAAAAAAAAAAAAAAAAAAAAAAAGCCCTGATGGCAGATCAATTAGTCAAAGACTTTAAGACAACTATCTTAAAGATGCTCAAAGAAACAAAACAAGAAGCAAAAACAAAGAAAACAATGTACAAACAAAATGGAACTACCAGTAAAGAGAAAACTTAAAAAGAAATTCTAGAGCTAAAATGTATAATAATGAAATGAGAAATTCACTAGGGTGATTCAAAGGCAGATTTGAGCAAGCAAAAGAAAGAAAGAGCAAACTTGAAGAAAGGACACTGGAAATTACTGAGTCTGCGAAAGAAAAAGAAAAGGGCTTAAGAAAAGTGAACAGAGAAACAGACCAACATATACACTGTGGAAGTCTCAGGAAAAGAGAGTGAAAAAGGAGCTGAAAGAATATTTGAAAAATAATAGCTGAAAACTTCACAAATTTGAAAAAAGACATAACTATAAACAGTCAGGAAACTCAACAAAATCCAAGTAAAATGAACTCAAAGATACCCACACCAAGAAACAGTAA